GATGGCGCCGCTAGAGCCTAGTGTCTGAAGCAAGAAATACCGGGTAAACAAGGAAGCTGTGATCGCATAACGTGCAAGTACGGCGGAAGCTACGGCCTGGTGGACCAGTTAGTAACATCTACAGTTCTTCCACTGGAAGTTATGCTACGCGACCGCTTCATATGTGGCCTTCGAGACGTTCACCTCCAGCAGCGATTACTCTCTGAAAGAGCCGTTACTTTCCAGAAAGTGTTTGATTTGGCTAAGGCAATGGAATCAACGACAACTCATCAAGTGAGTGAGTCGAGTGCTGACCATGATGCAGAACTTTACACCCTCTACAAAACGTATGAGGAATCACCAAGTCGACCCCATTTTCAGATTACCCTCACCATCGGCGGTAAAACCTTGCAAATGGAAGTTGACTCGGGAGCTGCAATCACGCTCATCAGTGAAGTAACCTTTCGCAGACTATAGTCAAAAGGAACAGCGAAACTTCAGTCTGAAGAGAAGCAACAGTACACCTGGTCAGGGCAAAGGCTGCCAGTTCTCGGGAAAATTCAGGTAAACGTCCTGAAAACAACCGCCGCAAGAACGCAGCCAGTCAAACTCACTCTGCGTGTTGTAAAAGGACAAGGAGCAAGTCTCCTCGGCAGGGACTGGTTTGCACCGTTGGGAATTTCCCTTTCTGGAGTGAACGCCGTGACCTCCACCTCACTGCAGAACGTCTTGGATAGATACCAAGATGTTTTCACTGAACTACAGAACGGTCACAAAGGGTCACCCATATCTATTCCAATGCAGCCGGACGCACCACCCAAGTTCCTGAAGTGCCGCCCAGTTCCATTCGCTATCCGGGATTTTGTGCTGAAGGAGCTGGATCGCTTGGAAGAACAAGGAATAATAGAACCTGTCCTATCTTCTCAGTGGGCAACTCCAGTAGTGGTAGTGAGGAAGAAGGATGGATCGCTAAGACTTTGCGGTGATTATCGTAGCACAGTCAACGCATCTGTCAAGCCTGGAACCTACCCACTGCCGACTGTACCAGAGCTCCTTACCACAATCAGAGGAGGAAAGCACTTTTCAAAGATTGACTTGGCGCAAGCCTACCAGCAGCTTCGACTCGATGAAGCTACGTCTGAGGTATTGTGCATCAATACGATCAAGGGACTGTACCGCGTCAAGCGTTAACCCTTCGGCGTATCTGTAGCCCCGGCTATCTTTCAAAAATTTATGGACGTATGTCTTGCTGGGCTACCGGGCGTCGCCACATACCTTGACGACATCCTCATCACTGGCTCCACCAAGGACCAGCACTTAGAGCGACTCGAAGCAGTTCTACGACGTTTGAGTCAAGCTAACCTCAAGGTCAAGAAAGAAAAGTGCCATTTCGACATGTCGGAGGTTGAATTCCTCGGATACCGAGTTGATGCTGCAGGCATCCGGCCGACACAAGAAAAAGTCAAGGCGATTGTAGAAGCGCCAGAGCCAAAAGACAAGTCGGAACTACAATCATTTCTTGGAATGATTGCCTTCTACAATCGGTTCCTCAGACATCGAGCAACTGTGGCCGAAAGCTTGCATCGCTTGCTCGACAAAAATGTGCCATGGAAATGGGAGTCCCGACATAAGAAGGACTACCAAGCGCTGAAGGACCTGCTCTCGTCAGCAGAGGTCCTGGCGCACTACAATACTGATAAGCCGCTCTTCTTGTCATGCGATGCCTCTCCCTACGGTGTAGGAGCCGTACTTGCCCAGCTAGACAACCAAGGCCGCGAAGCTCCCATTGCTTACGGGTCTAGAACGCTCGGTAAGAGTGAAAGGAACTATGCCCAGCTTGACAAAGAAGGGATGGCCATAGTGTTCGGAGTTAAACACTTTCATCAGTATATTGCTGGAAGGTCCGTCACAATATACACTGACCACAAGCCCCTGCTAGGCATCCTCAACTCAGACAGGCAGATGCCACTAGTACTGTCCCCGAGGATGCTACGCTGGTGCCTGCATTTCTAAAACTAGGACTATAACTTGGTTTACCGACCCGGTGCACTCCATCAAAGTGCGGATGCCCTGAGCCGTCTTCCACTGCCCAGCAACGTGGACGAACCACACGGTCCAGCAGACACCCTCATGATTAAGGCGCTCGAGACACCATCCCTCTCAGCAAAGGACATAGCCCGTCTTACGGCAAAGGACCCCCTCCTTGCGAAGGTCTACCAAGCCGTCCAGTCCGGAGCCTCCAAATGCAGGACCGGAAAACAGTTCGCAAGCTATATGAGGCAATTTACCGAGCTATCGACCCACCAAGAATGCGTCTTATGGGGATCACGTGTGGTTATTCCGAAGGAGGCACAGCCAGCAGCCATGAAACTCCTGCACGCAAACCATCCAGGAGTAACAGCCATGAAACGCTGTGCACGAAGTCATCTTTGGTGGCCTGAACTCGACAAAGAAATCGACAGGTGAGTCCAACTCTGCTCAAAGTGTCAGCAACAAGTACGCGCTCCTGTGCCAGCACCAAGTCCAACTTGGGAACGCCCCCAGGAGCCATGGAGTCTACTTCACATGGACTTCGCCGGTCCTTTTGAAGGAAAAATGCTTCTGATAGTTGTTGACGCATATTCCAAATGGTTGCACGTCCACATCTGCGCGTCAGCAACTGCTGCCACCGTCATTGACGCCCTCCGATCCATGTTTGCCACATTTGGCATCCCGAAAGTCGTCTGCAGCGACAATCGCACGCCATTTTTAGCCAAGGACACCAATCAATTCCTGCAAGCCAATAACATCCGGCACATCACAAGCGCCCCCTATCACCCAGCAACCAACGGCCAAGCCGAACGAATGGTTCGGGAAACAAAGGAGTCGCTCCGCAAACTTTCAGAAGGAAGTCTGAACTGCCGATTGGCACGGTTCTTGTATAAGCAACATACAATACCAGGCTCAACAACTGGGAAAACACCAGCAGAGTTGATGTTCGGACGACAATTGCTTTGCCCATTGGATTGTATTCATCCGCGGGGTAAGGAAGGTGAAGAAGGCTACAAAGACGCTAAGTTCAGCAATTCACAAGCCGTCTTTATTAAGGGATTCGCGGGACAACCGAAATGGATAGAAGCTAAGGTGCTCCATCAGGTTGGTTCCCGATCATTTGAAGTAACGACTTCAGATGGAAGAATACAAAGAAGACACATCGACGACATGCGAAGTCGGTTAGCCCAACATTCGGAACAATGCAGTTCAACATCGTCTCGAATTTCAAGTTATCCACTTTTCGACTCGGATCCCGATGAACAAAAAGATGTATGTGCCTCTGGCCAGGAATCTTCAGAGACGGAATTCTCAACAGCGAACACATCTGGTGCGTTTTCACTTCCAGAGCCTACACCGATCATCAAGGTACAGGGCTCTGCTATGCCGAATACTGAACCGACATCAGAAAGTTCTCCTGGACCATCCTCCTCGTCTGTTCCGGTTCCTCTACCCAGAACACGCCCCAAGCGCGTTACAAACAAAGCAGTGCGTTTTCGAGAAACTGATTAGTTTTATCGAGAAGGGGGAAGTGTTACGATGGGACTTCGTCGTCTTCATTTTGCAATAGGCAAGACGCGCGGCCTCAGCACGGGCCACGCCTCACGCACTGTTCCTGGTTAAGCTAGCGACATGTTCGCAGGGCTCGTAGCTCACCACCCGATCTCTGCAGTCTTCTCCTGTAAATAATATGTAAATAGATCACCACTGAATAGTATCACCGGAGTGCGCTTTTACTGCGAAAACGTACCAGGCTTTCCGCTGCCTCATGCTCTAATATGTGTGCGTTGCGCTCGTATGCGAGCGGCTATCGAAGCCGTCGGCACGCAATGGGGGGCTTATCGTTCACCCTTTACCAAGTTACACCGAGGCTTGGGCTCTCACTCTGCCGCATGGCCGTTACCGGCAGGCTATACTGTCACAAAAGTATTAAGCAGCAAAAAAAAAAAAAAAAAATCTTGACGCTAAAAAATTAGAGCAACCTTCCTCGCTCAAACACTAGGAACCCATATATAGGGCGAGGGTAATTCTGAACAAACACAAAACCAACAAATTCATGCTACAGAACAAGATGCCGAAGGAAAGAGAGTCTCATTTTTGCTAGGCCGCTTTATCTTGCAGTGTAGTCCAAAGGCAGCAGCGGCATATCCTCGGGGTGATGAGAAGTCGTCAGTCCTAACTCGTCGTTCCTTCACTCGGAGAAATGACATCATACACCACACACAAACACGCAAACCACACGCCGAACGTGGAAACAAACTTGAATACCCTTGCGCCTGTGCGGTAGTGAGAATATAAAGGCTCTTCGGAGTTTCTGATGTTCGTGCAACGAAAAGATTAATCTAATAACGAATTGCATCGGATGCCACCTCGACATGCAAAGCAGAAAGCAAGACAGACTCTTCGCATCCGTGAGCGACTATCGAGACGGACGTCTCGATGGAGGGAAATTCCAAGAAGCGAGGGAAACTTCTCCGAAAAGGGGGAAACTTCTCCGAAAAGACGCAAAATGCTGTCTTTTCCTCAAAAAAAAAAAAGAAAAAAAAAAGAGCGCGTTTGTGTTTCCAGATTTTACCGCTGGGGCATTGTTTGGCCCTACCTGAGAAAGCCCCTGAGTGCACCTTCTTCTGTGTTCCCCTTTCACCTCTGCAGCGACTACATTCTTTCACGATTTGGCAGGCTTTTTAGAATAAAGGAGGCTATGGTGCCACATACTAAATCGCTACGCATGAAGGACCACTTTACACCGTCTGCCATTACCATCTTTGCAAGGATCCTGTAATTTAACATGGAAATTATGTTATTGTGCGGCGGACAACAACGGACAATTTAACGTGAAACTATATTTTGTGTGGCGAACAATATTAGAATAGCTCAGTTTCTCTTAAGGATCTCATCTCAATTACCACAAGAGTCCACTGAAAATAAACGAGGCAGGGATATAGCGTGTACCCATGAAGGACGCTAATAGCATCCCGATTCAACAAAAATACCTTATTTTTTGTTTATTGGCACTTGCAACAAAACTATATATAAATTGAGGTAATCTCGCTCAACTTATTGTAGGGGGTCATCGCCTTGGATGTCGGCGCTCTGCGCACTAAGCAGCATGCTTCGTTTTTCGTCCCAGTTTGTTTCTGTCAGATAAGTTGTCAAGGAAAAAAAAAAACTACGTTTACGGAATGATATTGAATGGCGTAAAATGTGTCATCACCCTTCGGCCCAAAGGCTCATGACATCCGAACCCTTGGTCTTCTCCTCGATCCTGGCTTGCATTCGTTTAATCTGTTCTGGTGTGAAGTGTCCCTTCCAGTCTCCTACCACGCCCTTACGTATGAATTGCATGGACGAGGGGCTGCCGTCTTCTTCCAGGATCATGTTGAGTACACTTTGCGGAACGAGCTGCGGGTTCTCACTGACGAGCTTCTGCACCTGTTCGGGATGCATGTCCACCGCCTGCTTCATGTACGCCATGCTGCTCTTGTCCAGAACCTGCTTCAGAATGTTCGGGTCATCCTCCAGCATCTTCGCGTACTCTTCGCCGAGGAAGCGCGCCATCTTCAGTACTATGCCGCGGGTGTCCTTCTTCAGGTCTTCGAAGGTGGTGAAGAAGACGTTCGGGTCGTTTCGGTGAGCGTACCAGGAAAGAAGGTGGTCGAAGTAGTCTCCGAAATCTGTCTCGCCCTTGACGAAAAGATCAAAGTAGTCGTCGAAAGAGCCGTTTTTGAAACGGTATCCCGGAAGACCGCGGGTGTGGTGATAAAAGGAAACGCAACAGTCCTTGACGTTACGGGCGACATACACATATTTAGCTTCCTTGTGGTACGGCTGTCTCTCGAAGCTCAGATGGGTCTTAAAGAGCCTGGGAGGCGGCAGGGCGTCCAATGTCTTGGTGCCAGTAAACTCCAGAAACGGGGTTTGCATCTGGAACTGGAAGCAATTGGTCGCGGATTCGCCGCGGTGAACCAAGAGTTGTAGGATCTGCTGGACCCAGTGGGTTCCACATTTAGGAAAAGTGACCACAAAGATGTCGCCAGCTCTAGGTTTGAAGTTGAGCGCCTCTCGCACGCATTCAGGATCGAAGCCTTGGGGTACTCGAAGTCCGTCCACTTCGATATAGGATGGAAGCACAGGCATTTTGGTTCGTCCTGTGCCAGAGAGAGAACCGGGTCACAGCGCGGACAGGGACGGCACGATTTGTGCTGCTCTATCAATTCAGGTATAATGACTGTCCATGGGATTGCATGAGTCCTACTCGCGTTTAACGTTTAGAGCTTCGTCTTTCCTACTCTGGAGTCTTAAGCTATACGGCAGAGAGCACCATTCATTGGCACTGAAGGAAGCAACTTAACGGGTGACGAAATCAAGGTGTCTAACGGTGGTATGCGAAAATGAGCCTGCCATTTAATATGCTTACTCCAGATGGCAGACTTCATTTTTAGGTCGAGATGTTGTTAGACAACATCATTCGCCGGGCTCCCTCTTGAGATCGGAGTAGTTAGGTTCGTGCTCTTCGGGCCATTGGAATGTGATTTCTTTTTTAACGAATGAAACTTTTTAGAGGTAGCCATTTACATTCATGCCACACGAAAGAAAGACAGCTGGCAAATTCCAGCGAAAGTCTGATTCAATTTAGACCAACTAGATATCCTTTAATATGCAACCGAAATCGGTCGTTAGTCCGCGCCTAGTGTGCGATAAGCCTGAATTGATAACTGGTACTTTGACCTGAATTTTAACCGCCAATTAGAGCATGCGTAGTTCCGCACTTTGTCTGGAAGCCACAGAGACTAAACTGCTTGGAAGTGCAGATAACGGTGATACTGTCTAAACTTGTTTAATGGGGGCGCGACTGCCAGAGCCGTTCAGGGCCGCTGACGAGCAGGGTTGCTGCGCAAGGATCCCAGTGATAAATGCTGAGCGCCAACCAGCTTGGGTAGGGTCACGTGATCTGCACTTCGAATGCACTGCCCGAACTTGTTGCAAATACACGTAAAATTGAAGCAACACAAAACATAAAATTGTATTTAATTAAAGCCTTTTTTCCGCATTTCCCAGTTACGTTCCTTTCTCCGAGAAGGGAATGATTTCGCTTACGGTGCTAGAGGTAGTGGCATTTAGACTGTTATCCAGATAAAATGAAAACGGTGTAATAAGTTTGAACACGCTACTTGACTACAAGCACGTTATTTAACTTATGAATGAATTTTGCAAGGTGGCAGGATATATGGCAGCGCCAAGCTACCAACACTTACCTGAGAACTCGTAGAGTCAAAACAGTTAGTAGTTTGCCTGTAATGCTCGATACCCTTGGGTCTACCGTGAACTCTGAGGATGATTCGAGTTCGTGCACGCGTCTTAAGTCTCGGTTCTTACTTTTTTTTTTACGTGAATTGTCATTATTACATTACATAATGATTATAGTCAGTTCACGTGCAAACTGAAGCTAAATGACATTGCACTAAACGAGTACATGCGCAAGCGCGCGAGTCCGACAAGGGAACAATTCTTACAATCCATCAGGAAATTGCAGTAAGTTGTTGGATTGCTCATGTGCCAGTATTATACAGTGTTTCATTCCAAGAAAAAGGCGATTAATTACGACAACATAGTTATACAATTGGATAATACGGAATTACAACATGTTACTTGTTATAAATATTTAGGTGTTCTGTTTGATTCTGATATGCACTGGAAAAGCCAAATTAAGCACATTTGTTCGAAAATTGCATATGGTTGTTATACATTATTAAAAGCACGCGAATGTTTTGATTTATTTATTTTGCGCATACTCTATTTTGCATTCGTCCACAGTCAGCTGGTTTATTGTATTGAATCCTGGGGTAATACTTACGCTACATACTTAGATCCGGTAACTCGCATGCAAAAACGGGCGATACGATTTATAACATTTTCAAGGAACACTAACCCTAGTAGACCTCTTTTCCAATCGCTAAACGTGTTGCCATTCAGTTGCATTTACAATTAAAAATAGCTCAAACAGTTCGTAAAATCACAGAGTCTAATGAACCCCTTTCTTTGAATTTATTTCGATCTCCCAGGAGACAAACAAGGGCTGCAGCGAATTTTATGTTTAATTTACCGCCATGGCCATAATGCATATGGACAAAGGCTGATTTAATTTTATGGTGCTCTAGTTTCGAATGAAATACCTATTAACATAAAGTTGGAAAACAACTTTCTGGCCTCCTTAAAAAGATTCTTTCGTGATTATGAAATGCAGATACTCTAAGTACTTTCTAGAACGTGATTTCTTTTTTTTTTTTTTTCGCTTCTTTTCCGCATTGTACGAGTCTGCTGTATTCTGCCGCTTTTTGAACCTATATTCCGATTGTACCCCGGACTAGCCTTAACGGCTATGGGTCCAAACAATTTTTGTGTATTTTGAGAACAAATTTGGAAATAAAGCATTGAATGGATGAATGAAAGGGGATGCGCAGTAACACGGAGCGGCGGCATTTTAAGACGCACGCACGCTTTTGCACAACAACTGGACGTACCCAATGTTCAAAGAAGCGCAGATAATTATAACCTGCCCATATCTCCCCCCCCCCCCCCCCTTTCAAAAAAAAAAAAAAAATGCGGAGATGAGCAACACGCAGAATACGGGCAATACAACACCGCGTTGTTCCTTTCTGTGTGACCCTCGTCGCCGTTTTTTTCTCTTTCCTCACTGTAATCATACATCACCAGCTGGCCTCCCCAGTTGACTCTTATTTCGATCTATGTCCACTTTTTCCTATCGGTTTGTTTGGTGTCAGTGGCTGTGGCTAGTTTGAAACTTGCTGATCAAACAAAATACACACACACATTCATAAACACACGCACACACGCACTAACACATATACACTCAAACGCACAAAACGTATCTGACTCACCTTTCAGCTCTGCTTGTATCCAGACTTCTTTCCACTGCCACTGTGCGCCGCCGACTGGGAGGTTGATACGAAGACACCTTCCCGGCGAAGGTCAGTCGGCAGGAAAAGCGACCGCTGCGCTTGCCTGGCTCAAGGACTTAGGGTGGCGAAAGCCCAACGCGCTCGACTGCTCTGTGTTCCCTCTGAAGCACGTGACACGCGTAGTCAGTCTGCGAGCGACGTCAATGGCTCTGGCCGCCTCCGCCCAAGCCACGGTGTAAGATAATACTCTTCAGGTGAGGACAGCGCGCTCCTCGCGACGTGCCGATAAAGTTCGCTTTTCACTCGCTCTCGTTCTCACTCTCACTATGGTTTCAAGGGGCGCCGGCAGATGACTAGTCGACCCGTGGGCACGGTGTAAGACGCAGGAGGCAGGCAGCAGTCATACATGGGTAAATTTCTTCCAAAATGAAAGTTAATTACAATTACAATTACTTCGCTTCAGAAGTAGTTTAACTACAATTACAATTAGTACTACGTGAAAAGTAATTAATTACAATTACAAATTACTTTTAAAAATTAATGCAATTACTTTAAAATTACTTTCTTCTGAGAGCGACCCGACTTGGGCCATATAACTTTAAACGAGTTGTATAGAATGCAACATATTTATTTGTTTATTCCTTGCCCCAATGTTTCAGGAGCTTAATTAAGCATCGCTGCATAAATGACACATATAGTACTTCCCTTTAATGAATTTTGATGATGGAACTTGACAGTTTGGGGAAATGAAGTACTAGGTTCTTATGTTTTTAATAAATAAATAATAATAAATTAGTTCATATACTGCAAGACGCCAGATCGCTAAAGAAAAAAATGGGTTGACAGACAGACTTCTGTTAGCTAGGCAAATAAAAATGCGACAATTAGTCATCTATGAATATTTACAAGTGTTAATATCAAACTAAAATTCACACACGCTAATACGACCGCATTCACATACGAACATCATGGTATTGTAAATTATTTACACTAAGTAGAAATTATAATGGCTCAAAAATATATAAAACGAATCGGGGCTCCCGAATCATTGGTGACAATGTTCGCAGATGCAAGGTCAGTCTCCAAAATGATTATGCAAGTAACATCCGAAGTAAAACCAACTGGAAATCAATCAATCAATCAATCAATCAATGTTTATTAAAGAGTCCAGGAACAACCAATCGGTCTTAGTGCTGGCACACTAATAAAATGAGCAAAAACACACACATACAAACACGCATACACACGAGTGCAGAAGGAGAACGTAGTTCTCCAGTCTGAGAATAAAAATGTTAACAAGTATGAAAGACACTCAAATCAACAAGGGAAATCAAAAGCACAAAACAGAGACATCACCAGGTGTGAGAGCAAAAAGAAAATACTACATCAACGCTTCAACTGATCAGCCCTTTTCCTGCAAGAGGAAGATTCGAACAGCATTTCCGAACTTGCTCCCACATGAGTTAAAAATATCAATTGTGTCAGAGTAGCGATTATAACACTCAGCCGATCTTTGGATCGGGTTTAATTGGCTAAAATGTCGAGCTATATAAAAGATGATTGTAGCCGTGTAGGCACACGTGGAACTCTGAGGCTCACTTCGGACAGAAGGCTGGGAGAGTTAATCGAGCCGTTCAGGGTCTTAAACAAAAACAACAAATCTCCCTTCACCCGATGCTGCTGCAGGCTCAACAAGTTGACAAGTTGCGAGTTACACTCATTGTTCAGACAAGGATCACCTTTCTCAAGGTAACGATATTTAAAGATAGAAATAAATTTGTTTTGGACTCGCTCGACCGATAAACTGTTAGTTTTGGAAATGCCGTTCCAAACAACCGAGACGTACTCTAGCTGCAGGATCAAACTAAGGAACAATACAGCGTAAAAAAAGCGGACGGGCTTTTGAATTCCTTCGTTATGCGAGACAGGGCACCTAACGTGCGCAAGGCCGATTGAACTACTCTGATAACGTGAGTGTCAAATCTCAGGGTTGAATCAAAGACAACTCCAAGGTCCCTCAGTTCACTTACACGTGACAGCAGTTCGCCATGATAACTATATGGAAAAAATATATCATGGGTCTTGCGAGAATATGTCATTACTTTTGTTTTAGAATGATTCAAACGGAGGTCATTGTCTAAACACCAACGACCGAAGGAATATGCGTCATTCTGAAGCGCGATCCAATCCTCTAAGATCGATATTTTTTTTGTAAAGTTTTATATCATCAGCGTACTGCAGAAATGAAGAATTTAATATAACTCGAGAGACATCATTTACAAAAATATTAAAAAGGAGGGGGCCCAAGACAGATCCCTGAGACACTCCAGAGCTTGCCTTGTACAAGGACGAGGTAGTATTGTTGACGCGGACGTAGGCTTGTCTATCAGACAAATAGCTTTTTAACAAATTGTATACCGAACCACATACTCCGTAAGAGGAAAGCTTGTATAGGAGGATGTTGTGGTTGACTACGTCGAATGCCTTACTCAGGTCGAAATAAAAAAACGTCAAGCTGACCTCTATTACAAACTACTTCAGAGGCAGTAGACGTAAAAGATACGAGATTGGTGGATGTCGATCTGCCGGACATGAAACCATGCTGATTAGGAATGACTATACTACGAAACTTGAAGGAGAGGAATTGATAGATTACCATTTCAAAGAGTTTGGAAAAAGACGAGAGAAGAGAAATCGGTCTGTAATTAAGAACATCACCACTATTTCCAGATTTCAGGACCGGAACAACCACTGCCAGTTTCCAGTCGTCAGGGAATATCCCTGACGTCAAAGAGTTATTGAAAATTGTGCACAGTATAGGCGTAAGTAATTCATGATAACCCTTAACAATTGCAGCGGGTATCCCGTCATGACCTGCAGACACTGTGGGTTTCATTTTCTTAATACATAGCCTAACACAATCCTCATCGACAACCACAGAACCTAATGAGTCACCAAGTACGTCCGAGTGAGGCAAAAGAGTTGAGGAGCAGTTATTATTATTATTGTAAACTGACGAAAAGTGATCCGCAAACAACTCAGACATGCCCTTCGCACAGCCGCTATGCTGATTCAAGATGATATCGGACTCAATATTCTTCCCTAAGCGCGATTTAGCGTACCTCCAAAATTTCTTGGGATTTTTAACAAGATCTGATTCTACCAAGCCAGAATGCGCCTGGCGATCACGGTTTAAAATTTTCTTACATCGCTTTCCGCAAATTTTAAATTCAACTTCCCACTTTGGAAGGCCACTTTTCTTAAACCTCCTGTACAAAATTTCTTTCCGTTTCAAAAGCGTTCTGAGTCCACGAGAGAACCAGATAGGGAAGCGAGATTTTTTAGACGTTTTGAGAGGGATATATATGTCCATAGCCTCCTGAACAACAGTTGTGAGCAGATATACTCGGTCGTTAATATCAGACGACTCCAAGATAGAAGCCCAGTCAACACCCGAAAGATGGTGATACATTCCAGTGTAGTCCCCCGCTAAATACTTATACGATGTGTGTGGGGAAGGAGCATTAGAGGGACTGAGGACCGGAGGATCAAAAACAGAAAGAACTACATCAACAGCAGGGTGATAGCTATCCTCAGGAACCATAGAAAGTTCACTTCGAGCCACATGTATACCGTCCGTGTTTGAAAAGCATAAATCTAAAGCATTACCTTGATCGTTTAGAATGTTATTGTGCTGTCTAAGATCTAAAAAGGAAGTAAAGTGGAGGAGATAGTTGCACTTTTGTTTACAATAAATGTTGCCAGTAAGGACATTGAACTGTGTCCAGTTAATACCTGGAGCGTTAAAATCCCCCAAGATTAAGATATTGCTCTCCTGTGAATCATTAATTGTACTTTCAATGTCAGCGAGACACCTTTGGAAATCATCTGGTGTCGTCTGAGGAGGAAGGTAGAACAGACCTATTAAAATACGTTCTCTCCTAGAACACTCAATTTCCACCCACAGAGACTCGGGAAATCTCTCCAGATCCTTCCGTCTTCGTGAACTATATTGTTTGTTAACCGCGACCAATACACCGCCTCCTACTCGGCCCCGGGAAGAGAAATCACGATCATGACGGTAGACATCAAAACAAGGCGGAAAGTAGTCGGAGGAACTAACACTAGGACATAACCAAGTTTCCGTTAAGCAAACAATTGAGTAATTAGAGAGAGTTATAATAAACTTACAAATAATACAAAGATACAAATATGCGACAGTACTGCAAGGGTGACGTAAAAAACTGGCAAAAAGGAAAGAAAAATAACTTCATAGACAAATAAAATTCCCGATTTCGGCAAAAAAACTGACGCTCAATTTTTTTTTTCTTTGAACATTTTGACATGTTTACGCTACTGTTTGCTGCTCGCACCGCAGACGGCGCTACACGGCGCCGTCGAGGTAGGCTCCAAAGCGAGTTGTCTCTCAGCCCACAGGTGTAAGCAACAAAAGAACAAACAATGCGACGCTATTTATGTTGTGCGTGTCTGTGAGTGCGTGTCTGTGTGCGAGTGTTTCGCCGAGAGCTAGGCCGCTTGCGCTGGCTTTCAGAGAGGTTCCGTCGGCGCCGCGAAGTTTTGCAAAAGTAATTGTAGTTGTGCCTGAAATTTTGCAATTACTGAAGCTAGAAAGTAATTAAATTACATTACCATTTCTTTTAACCAAAAATAATTAATTACAATTACAAATTACCAAGAAGAGTAATTCAATTACAGTAGTTCAATTACTGTAATTGAATTACTACCCAAGTATGGCAGCAGTGCACAAGACGGCTCGTGCCGCCTCATGCTCCAGAAGCGCAGAGCTCCAGCGAGGTTGTCGCTCGTGCAGAAAGAGTACGGTGTACCCGGGGTGTCATGGCAACGAGATAATGTTTTTCGCTCTCACACAGTTTCGCCGTTTGGCCGCCGGTGACACTGTTAGCCGCGGGCACGGTGGCCGCGGAATGATGCAGCCTTTCGGATGCCCGTCCAACGAACGCTATCTGAATCCTCGCGCCGCGCATTCAGCCCCGCCGTGTCCTCACCTAAAGAGTGTATCTTACACCGAAGCCCAAGCACACAGGTGTCTACGGGGCGCACCGCAAGCGGCACAACGAACGGGAGTCGTGTTCGCACGTCGCAGGGAGAGGGCTGTCGCTACTGGGTCGGCGGCGTCATTAAGGCCGCTGAAAAGAAAACTGGGACACACGAGGGGATTCCAAGGCCAAATACGCATCCAGGAGCTCTTCAAGACATCCAAAGT